GAGGGATTCAAGAAGCGATGGTTCACCATGGATGACCGACGACTCATGTATTTCAAAGATCCTCTGGTAAGATGAAGGTGCCTGGGCTGTCTGCTGGGAATATTTAATAATTATAACAATAGAATAATAATATACAGTAATAATAATAATATAATAATAATATACAGTGAAGCTCAGGCTGATGGGAGAGCCAAGAGGGCGCTGAGCCATTGCTGCTAGGTGTATCTGCCTGGTGCTCAGTATGCAGTAGCCCCGTGCGCAGATATTCACCCCAAAATGCTTTGGAAACCCTGTGGACCAGCTGCAGATTTCTCTGCAGCTGAATTTTGGATCCCTGGTGTTGGTCCTGCATTGTGGGTGCCCCTGGGAGGAGCTGGAGTGGGGCTTTGTGGGGTGGCTGGTGCTTTTGGTGTTTGCCTGCTGGTGAGCCATGTCCTGGCTGCCCGGGATGCAGAGCTCCCCTTCACAGTCAAGCCTGCCTGACTGCTCCACTGTCTCCTAGGATGCCTTTGCTAGAGGGGAAGTTTTTATTGGGAGCAAGGAAAACAGCTACAAGGTCCTGGAAGGGCTCCCACCATCCACACAGGGAAACCACTGGCAGCACGGGATCACCATCGTCACCCCAGATCGGAAATTCCTCTTTGCCTGCGAGACAGAGGATGACCAGCTGGAGTGGATTACGACTTTTCAGAAAGTTATAAGCCGGCCAATGCTGCCTCAGGAATACGCAGGTGTGTTTGCTGATGAGGGCTGGAGGTCAGCCTCAGCCCCTTTATTTCCTGTGCGTTAGAGGATGGGATGAATGGAGGGAGATCAGGGATGTGGCGGCATCGCTGCCTCCTGTGTGGTTGTTTTGCCAGTTATCAGGCCTAGCATAAAGGACACAGCCAGCATAAAGATGAACCAATAACCAGATTGTATTTGATACAAAAGGGTCAGTACATGGGTGAGTGCTGGGGGTACAAACAAGTCAGATTATACATAATCGACATCAATCCCACTGACCTCAACAATGACACCGCACAGCCAACAGTGGGTGGAATAAATGGTGACATGCAGTCTCCTATAGAAGGGATGGGAGACAACCGAGTCAACAAGCCAAACACATAAGACCAAGGAAGCCACATGCTGAATCTCTACACAGCCCACGTTTACAAAAGCCAGACCTGACTGGAGCCCAGTCCCAGGGAGGCAGGAGGTCCTTCCCCAGCACAGAACTCTGCACAGGGCATCCACCTCACAGACAGACACTGCCCCTGCCTGCAAGGGGTCCCAGCTTTTATCCCTCCGTGGGACACCTGACCTGGGGTTACTCAATGCAGACACCTGGGGCTCCTTTACCCAATGGCTCTGTCTGCCAGGCCGGCCCCACCCTGGAGGGAAGCCTAAAGGCAAACTCACCCCCCTTTGGGAAGGGCTGTGGGAATCGCCCACATGTCAACCTTAATTTGGGGCTGGGGGTTCATACCCCAGCATTTCAGTGGTGTGAGCGGGGCAGCCCTTCCCCAGCCGGGGGAGGATGCAAAGGGTGTCCAAAGAGAGAGCGGCTCATGCTGGGAGGAGGGCAGTATCCTTCCCTTTTTATCACCTCTGGCATGATGTCTGTAGTGCTATGAGGATGATCAGTCACCCAGTTATAAGGATAATCAGAGCCAAGGAGCAGCAGCAAGACAAGGGACATCCACGGGGTGGGATTGTGCCAGGTTCTTGCTGCCTGCCAGCGCTTGTCCTGCTTTTAACTTTATTTTCTCTGTTTTTTTCTTTCAGTGGAAGCCCATTTCAAACATAAACCTTAGCTGGGACTGGCAGGGTAGACCTGAGGAGTGAGCTTCTGTTTACAACACAACATGGTTTTATTTGAAATGTTAAAAATAATGAATAATAATAATAACAGTAATAATAATAATAATACTTCCCTTTCCCCTCATCATTCACTTGATCATGTTGGAAACCAAGAAGGGCGGCAGTGAAATGTCGGAGAAGATGTTGATCCATCCCGAAATTCAGCTCTGTGGCCGCTCCGCAGGATGTGCCGCTGGGACGGGTGGTCCTGCGACCCCGTCACCCCACACCTGCTGAAAGGGGCGTCCCACCTGCCTTCGGCGGGATGGTAAAGACTGTTGCTGGCACATCTCGGGGGGAGATGGGGCTTTTCCCCACGAGCTGGTCACCGGGGGCTGGCGCTGAGCATCCCCACAGCCCCAGGTCTCTGCCAGCCCTTCCTGTGGGGGGCTGCGAGTCCCTGAGTGGTGACGTCCTCGTGGGATGTGAAGCACCAACCTGGAACCACCCGAAATGGTGATGTGCGAGATGGCTGAGCCTCCCGACAGCATCGGGGTAAATGATCGTAAATCACCTCCCCTGGGGAGAGGTGGTGGTGCTGTACCCAGGCTAGGGTCAAATGGGATTTAGAAATAGAGGAGATCAGCCTCGTTACTGCTTAACGAAGGGCACGAAGGAGGGGTGTCCAGTGCGGGGGGGACACCGAGCCACAAGATGAGGCTGGGCAAGCAAAGCTTTGGGATTGGGGCCCATGATCTGCCCCCTGGGTTGTTCCTGTTTTATGGTTTGAGGGGGTTCACACCATTTTGGGAGCCCGGTGTGGTTTGGGGGGGGGTTGAGCTTTAGGTGCAGTTTTGCTGATAGGCGCTACTACCAGCCCAGCCCTGGCAGGTGCGTCCCTCCAGCCGATGACACGTTGCTTCTCCAGACTGGTGGTTGCACTTTTTTTTTTTTCCCAATAATTCTCTCGATTTTTTTTGGATATTTTTTTTTTCTCCTGCCAAAAAAAAAAAAAAGCTGCTTGAAGTGACGTTTCAGCGCTGTGTTGAGCACTGTAATTCCTGCGGTCGGGGCAGGTGGGCTGGGACCTGCACACCATGTGCTGGATTTTTACCCCAAAATGAAATTTCTGGCATCCGCTGAAGAACCAGCCCCAGACACTGACCTGTCCGACGCATTTCTTACGTTGGTGTGTGTAAATGAGAGCATCTCATTGGCTGTATGCATTCGTTCTGTCACTGGTAAGACAACTGTGGTACTAAATGTCATTCAAACCAATAAATTATTATGTCAGAGCTGTGGCCCTGTGGTGCTGGGGCAGGGGGGGGTGAGGTGGGGTTAAAAAAACATAAATGAAAAGTAGGTAATGGTGCCCTGGGGGTGCAGGACAACCACAAAAACCATCTAGGTCCCTCCCTCCCTCCCTGGCTGCTCAGGGCAGTGGCAGGGGGGTGGGGGGTGCAGCTGCCAGGTAAAGATATAAACTACACACACACACATTTATGTATAGATCCTGGTTTAAACCTGGCCAGCAGCCAAACACCACACAGCTGCTCACTCACCCTCCCCTGCCGCAGGGATGGGGGCGAAAATTACAGGAGTAAAGGTAAGGAGACACGTAGGTTGAGATAAAAACAGTAATTTGAAATAAAAGAAAAATACAATAATGATAATAGTAATAATAGAAAGTACAAAGGTGTAATGCACAATGTGATTGCTCACCACGCATTGACCGATGCCCAGCCTGTTCCCAGCCAGTGAGCCCAGAGAAGAGAGAAGCCTGAGACTCAATCCTGGAAGTGAGAGCGAGTGTCCTGATCAACCCTCACCTGCACACGGAGCGTGACACGGTATGATGGGGAATGTTCCCTGAGCCACTTTGGGCCCAGTGCTCTGCCTCTGCTCCCTCCCAGCTTCGTGTGCATCTGCGCACTGGCAAGACATGGGAAATTGAAAAGTTTTTGATTTCTTAGCAACAACTAAAACCATCAGTGCATTGTCAATGTTCTCCAAAGCACAGCACTGTTCTCGCTACCAAGAAGCAAAAAAAGCAGCTCTAGCCCAGCTGAAACCAGGGCAGCATATAACGCACTATACATTATACTTATTTGTGTATAGCATATATATTATATATATAATACTCATGTATGCATACACAAAAATTAGCTCCTCGTAATATAAATTCATGAGCTGTTGACTAGTCACAAACACAACTATAAGCTGTGCATAGTAGATCAAGCATAATATATACTACACTTATTTGGGGGGGGGTGTATGAGCTGCATATAGTTCATATGAACACATGCATGTATATATATGTAGCTATCATTAGACATACACATTTAATTTGCAAATATATAAGCTAAAATGTATTTCATACATGTCTGCATATAGTCTTTTTATAATTGCAAATTAATAAAATATACTATACATGTGCATGCTTTTCATATAGGTGTAAAGGATATATTATAAATTCAAGAGCACTATATTGCATATAAAAACATATCCTCATGCATACGTGTATGAGTAACTTAATTTATATTAGAAGTGTATTTTACACACATGGTCACACTTAAAAACAGGTGTGTGAGAAGCAGGGAGAGGTGCTGGGTTCATTGTGTTCAGTGCTCGTTATAAAGAATGGGTGGGTGTATAACTAAGAGAAATAGAAATCATACTATAAATTATATGCTATACAATTAATTATAAATGATGATATACACAAAAGGCTGTTTGTGCACGTGTTCTGCACCTGTCTGGGCTATTGCAATGTCTCTGTATTTTGTACATAGGCCACCACCCCTGGGCCAGCTGGGGTTCAGGCTGGGCACACGGACAGTCCTGCCCAGACAAGGTGAGCACATGAACTGTGAGCACAGGACACGCTGCTGGGCACCTCCAGCTGCCCCAGGACTGGCACGTCAGGCAGCAGCCAAAGGCAGTGTGACACGGCTCTGGCCCCTGCCACCGTCCCAGAGCGTTTACTGCGTCTGCAGCATCATCCAGGTAGGGGGTTCACTGCTGAACATGCTGCAAATTAAAGCAATCCACACCTGCTCCTGGCATTACAACACCTGACTGAAGCTACGCCCTCACTGACAGAGGTCACACTGCAGCACTGAGGTCCAGATGATCCACAGGCAAAAGAAGAGGGGAAAAAAATAGCAAAGAAAGCAAGATCTGTGCTCCTAAAACTTAAAAAGCAGGACCATCACACATCCTGGTATAAAGTGTTTATTTGAGACTTCACAATTAACACAAAGTCTTCTTTTCAATGCCTTTTCTTTTTCATACAGTCAATAAATTTGTATTAATCCCTCCCTCCCCCATGCATGATTGCTGTTTATTAATCTAAGCCTTTTTATTTTCATCGTGAAAAAATAAAGCGTTTCCCCACCATTTCATCTGTTCACTGTACCACTGACATCCACTGTGCTGCATTAAAGAGGAGATGTAGAATGGCTATGCCTACCACTGGGGTTGAAGTTACTCCATTATTCATTGATTTATTCTTTTACAGAAAGTGTTAAATGAATCAATCACCCAAGAAAAATAAATATATCATAAAGAACCAAAAGTTCTGCAGTATCCCTTTTCTTTACATACAGCTGCAGTTCAAACACATACATTGCTTACGGCAAATCATATCATTTCATTCACTTAACACCGTTGCCTTTACGTATGGTTGTGAACTTACACCGAAATAGAATCTGTTCCAAAGGAGTAGAGCCACAAGTCAGAGGAGGTATTTTAGATGCCAAATTTTTATACCTAGGCAAGAGAGATCCACATGGAAGCTAATTACCTATGCTCCACTGACAGGCTTTTACTCGAGAGCAATTCAATCTTGTGCTTTTCAGGAAGTATCGGCTAAACATACACCTGGGCTCAGCCAGAACCAGACCTTAAGTCGAGTGAAAGGCAGTACGAATGGCGTGCATGTTAGTCACGGCAGTGGAAGCGAGTTCTTGGTATCAACGTCTCTTGGATGTGCATCTCAAATTATGCTGCTTGGCTCGTCTCGCAGTACTTTTGGCACCAGCCTCACAAATAAATTATTCAACTGATCACCCTGCCTTTCAAGATCTTCCTTGGAGGTGGCAGAGGTCAAGGAAGCATTCTTGCAACAAAGACAGTATTGGGTAGGCCGTGAAGTACAAGACCCATATTTATGCTTTATTGAATTACTGTGCAAAAGGGAATACTGCATCAGAAACCGTAGAAGACTATATTTTAATCAAAGTCACCAGCTGCTGTATCGGAAACCTGCTAACAATTGCTCCGATTGGTTCATTTGGCTACTTTTTGTTGGTTTCTTTCTTTTTTTACATAAATAATATAGACCGAACATTATAAACATTTCAGCAACCATTTCTAAAAGACCGGAGGAGCCCTTTTAGGCGCCAAGAAACAACTGCAGGATTCAAATTCCAAAACTGTCTTTGGAGTCATCGAATCATCAGATTTACACGGCACCCAATGACAACATTCAGTCGAGCTCAATAGGACTGCTATCTTCCTGACCATCTTCTGTGTCATCATCTTCTCCAGTTCCCATCAGACTGTTTAAGAGGTTTCCTAGAATAAAATACAGGACAGTCAAAATTCTAAGTTTTACAGTCTTGTCTCAAAAACTTTAAACTATTCTCCTTCCATCCTGCTAGGTTGCAGATTTCAGTAATTAAAATAAAAAGGAGAATTCTGAAGTCAAAAAAAGTCAAAAAGCTCAGCAAGACATTAGTATTCCCACACTGGTTTCCATTAAGAATTTATTGGTTTGGGAAGCTGCATTTTGATACAGTTTCTTCTCTAAGAGTACACTGGAAAAAACCCACACCAAAGTCACATACTTATGTACTACAGCTGCACCCTGACAGAGAAAAAAACAAACAACCAAACGAGGAAAGACACCTCCAGCAGTGAAACTCTCAAAAAGCAGCAATGGTCTACATCACGCTATGAAGAACTTGTCTGAGTCAAAGGCATCTACATGTTCTTCCTTTTTTTTTTTTTTTTTTCAATTTATAGATTCCTGAATTGCTGAAAAGATGTTATTTACATATGGGTTCTATGATGCTTGTGGTTTTCATCAAACTTTGGGTATCACTTATTTGCAGGTAAAGCAAGTCAGTTTACAAACAAAAAGCTTAATTCTCAAGGAAAAAAAAATATTTTACAAAAGTAATCCAGTTCAATTTGTTCACATTTTATTCAAGAGCCAGGAAATGAGGGCTGAATTTCTCTATTCCTTTTCATTTCATGTAGTAGGGCAGTATTAATTTCAGAACTGCTACTGTAGGAAAACTCATTTTATATCAGCACTGGTTAGATCTCTACCAAAGTCCCAGACTTGGCTTAAGGAAAATCAGCCACTGAAGCATGAGGAAATTAAGCTTTAATACAAGTAAGATTTTTCTTTACATTTGGAAGTTATACCATAACATCAATAATTAACTGTAAGAGTCATTTACATGCTTCTCCTCTTCTCAAAGATGAAAAGTCTATTAGCTTCACCAAATTAATTTCACATGCAAGCAATTCAGCAGGGACTGTTTCTATGGTCTATGAAAAAACTGATATATTCATTAGAACAAATTATCTGTTTCTAGCACAGCTGTTTCATATAAGCCACTGCTCTGAAAAGACTGGTGGTATCTATAAACAATTGTCAGCATAAACCTTACCTAGTAATCCTCCGTAGGACGATGATTGCTTGGGCGGAACACCGAAGAAAAGTTGTCCTATTCTATCTAGGTACTGAAACGACACAGGATGAAGAACAACGTCAGCTACTTCATTTACAGGTAGAAATACCATGGGCAGCAGTCACACCACACAAGCTAGATCACTGACTCCTATCTACAAGTCACAAAACAGGAGACAGTCAGCTATTATTTAATTCTGTAGGTTAAATCCTGTTTACAACTACGAGTAACTCACCTCATTATACATGGGATCTCTTTTCAGTGAAGGTTGATACTGTTCACACAATACTGTAAATACTGTTAGTTTTCCTCTACAAAAGAAACAACCAAAAATGTAATCTCAGTAACAACTGAAAAGGAAACCAGGAACAACATGAGGATAATCAGACTGTACCCGTCAACTGCCAATAACAGAAACCAGATGAAGTTTAGCAGTGGTTGAACAAAGGGTGGACCCTTTTCTATTGAAGGATGTTTCTGTGTGTATGTCGTAAAAACAACTGATGCGCTGGTCTTATTTTTTAAGCAGAGAAATCTGCAAAAGGAAACACAACAGGGCAAGTTAAAAATAACAGGTAGAGAAGTAGTTTTACATGCAGAAAAGGGAAACCAAAAGCTCAACAATCTCTAGTTGATTTGTGCATACAAGCCATCTCAGGTTTAATCTGATGGCAAAAACTTAACTGGTAGAAATGTACAGCTTTGGCAGTGCTTTGGCTATCAAATGAGGAAGGGGAAAAGCACTACTAGAACACATTGTGGAATAAGTGGGTTGGGAGGGAGAACTGACACTAAATATTAATAGAATGAGTATAACCGAGATCTAAGCAGACTGTATACAGGATGTTTACTAAAAGAGGGCATCAATTAAATCAAAATGCGGAAAGACTAGCCATCACATAATTCAAATTAAACATGATATTGCATTTACTGGTCCAGAGATTACTATGCTGAGGTAAAAACCAAATTAAAGACCTCTCTCCTGGTCCCATCCACTCCCAAACACATCTCCTTGCAGTATGTGTTTGTCAGTGTCTGACGGCTCTGTCATTCTATTAGCACTACCTCAAAACAACAAGCCATCAGCACCACTAATAAGTTTGACACACATATCTAAAAGTCTCGTAATAAAGCTGCACTTTGAGCTCCCAAGCCATTTATCACTGGTTAACAGATCGATTTCCCAAACTGATCAAACCTTTGTTCAGGTCCAGTTAATTTAACTGGCAATCTCTGCAAGTCCCACAGGCTTAACAAGAGACTTTATCTGGGACAAACGCTGTCAGCAAGCACTGGGAAGGCTGCCACGTGCAGTCTCATTTTTGGTTGCAGGCTGGCCTCCAATTCTGTACCCTCACACGTGCAAGGGCATTGAGCTCTTTTGCCTTACTGCTGAGCAAGGAGCTGCAATTATTTTCATTAGAGTATAAACTGTTATGTAAGAGGATTTAGTAGAGTATCTGAGATATAGGCCAGTAAGGGATGCAGTAGTAGTGGTGTATAAATACTGAAAAAATAATCTCTTACTCATAACTTCTCCCCAAAATTTCCCCCCCTCCAGAATAAAGCCCCATAAAATTGTTTAAGAGTCCTGCATATACTGAATTTCCATACAGGATTTTCTACCGCTCAGAATCACTGCAATCTATATCAACCAGCTATGGAAAGCAGGACAAATCTAACATGACAGCTCACTGCTGCCAAAAGAGAGACAGACTTGGTCTCACCTCCTCCCTCTCCCCCAACACCTACTCTCTGCCTGACTCCCTGCTGCAGAGTCCTGTCTCCACCTCCTCCTCAGACTCCTCCATGAGCTGCTTTCCCTGACTGAAGAAAGCCATCAGCTGATTGAATGCAGTCAAATTGGCTTTGTCAACCTTAATTGTACATGAGCTCTGCAAAGGCACATAATAGCCTGCATTCCCACATCCTACAAAATAAATGCCTCAAGTAAGTGAAAGCCACCAGGAACTCTGTCAAACCAAGAACCATTGCACTGCTGCTGACAGATCAGGGTGATCGGAGACAAACTGTCTCTCAGGACAATGAAACCAAGAGCAATTACTATGCTAAAAGTAAATATATAGCCTGCTTAGGTCCTGTCTTAGTAAAAACATCAAAGTAAGCCCTAACTAGACATGAAGTGGTGTTAACAAAGCTAAGAACTGTGCTTTCAGGGTCAAACAGATTACGTTAATTCTTCAGGCAATTAACATAATTTCAGGTTTTGACCTTAATACGTTTTCAGGTGCTTTTTTTTTTTCCTCTCCCCAATATGATCAATTCAACACAGCTGTTTTGAGACAGTTTTGTCCTGTTGTTACCACACAAAGGGATTTTCAGGAGCTCTGGCCAGTTTCACAGTTTCTTTTGAAAAGGATGCATGGTTAAACTATAGTTATCATGATTAAATTAGACTGGTCTCAAACACAGTGTCATCTTAGCAAAATAATTAAAAAAGGTTTAACACCTACTGTAGTACCGCCTGTGCTACAAACATGTCCACCTCACTGCGATATCCTCTGGACGAGGAGTATTCTACTAGCATATTTGCACATCCTTCGCCATCTGTGGAGTGCAAGAAGTGATACCGAGATTCACTATAGTTTTGCTCTACAAAAGGAAAAAGAAAATGGCTTTTAAGAAATCAGTTCATCATACTTGAACATAAAAACAAATTTGTTAGGCTTGTACACTACAGCTGGTAAAAGGACAAGAGCTACACACATAGTATATAAACAAGACAACTAGCAAAGAGTAGGGCTTTTTTCTTTAAAAGTTACAGACAAGTTATAGAGGAATATAATAAATACGTTATCCTAAATACATGTGAACAACTCCTATTAAATACAATTTATTCAATGCCACCACCAAACACAACCACTGGGACAAATAGCTTGAGCTGCCGTCATATCATTTTATCTAACTGCATGTTGACAGTTCATGTGCTATCATCAGTGCTTAGGAAAAGAATCGAGAAGTTCCATATCAGACCATGTGCACCAAGAAGTCAAACAGCAACTTCAGTGTCCTTCTTTCTAAGTGCACGGAAAGCAGGCATTTCCTATTTTTAGCTTAGCCCACTCTTGCTATCAAAATTAAAATTGCTTCCATATGCGGAATAGAACAGCAATTATAGAGGAAAAAAAGGTATAAGAAATGGCAATGATTTGTTAGAACTTAACTTGAAGCAAAGCATCATACAAAATCACTGCAATGACAAATCAGAACTGGATAGCTGCTAATTTTTGGAATTTAAAAGCTTTGTTTTAAAAATCTGAGCCTTTTCTGATCAAGGTCTCAAAAACTACAGACTAAGAAAACGTATGCATTTTGCTCTTCAAAAGACCAGTGAGCAGACAGCTACAAAGTGGGGATTTTTACTTTCAGAATGCAACTCTTTCTTATCCTAATCATATCTCAGCTTCTAACAAGTGCTCTGAGGAAAATCCTCCCTTTCTGGCTGGCAGCAGCCACCAAGCTAACCTAAGTCCCATGAGAACAGCTATGGGATTGCCTATGGCACGCAGAAAGGCAGTAAGCTGGAATGTTGACCATTGGGTCAGGATTGATACATGAAACCACTCTCATCACTTTGTAGCTACCAAAAAATTTAAAATAAACAAACAATCACCTTGCACAGTTTTTAATTCACAAGAAACCACAAAAGAGATGGCATTTATTCAACTGTTTGCACTTACCTTTGTTATATTTTGAACATTAAGACTTTAAAAACTGGCTATCATCCACAACTAAAATAACTACCTAGTGCATTTTTGGTTTATCTTACATCCCATCACAAGTGATAAAATCCCACATAAACCAAAGGCAACAGCATTCATTCCAGAATAAGCCTGCTGGTCAATGTCTCAAAAAGCACCTAATTACTGATCCAAAGACAGTCTGGATGCTAGGTGACATATTTCAATCTTTGTCATGTTTATCCCGGATTTAAAGACAAAACCCCACAATAGAACAGCTTTGCTCCCCAGCAATCTTCTTCCTAATGACTCAAACTACCTCAATGTCTAAACGATCAACCTTCCTTTTACAGAGAGATTTACAGCAGTTGTGTTTTGGGGTTTGCACTAATACAAATTTACAGCCCCAGGTTTTTGTTAGTAACATTAAACTGAAGTTATTGCAGAAATCAGTAATAGTGGAACTCATCAGTCATCTCCATCTCAGCTTCCTTAGATTACTTCCAAACTAGATTTCTTACAATATCCCACTTTCAGTATTTTCAAAAGAAAACACATAAAAGCCTGTTGATTTTTCTTACCTTTCCAAAGGGTAATTGCTAGTAACTGGTGTAGTTTTGGGTGTCCAAGTTTTCCTGATCCCCCACTAGACCATTTGAGTGCTCTGGATACAAAAGCCACTCTTTCGGGAGAATTTGGATCCATTAAACTAAACAATTTTGCCAAGTTTTCTAGAAAGAATAAGATTCACAAATATTTACCATTAATAGAAATAGAATGCTTCTAGTGCATCTTTAAGAAACAACATTTAAGTTACAGTGCTATTGTGTCTTTAAACTCCCTTAACAACCTCCATAAGCCACCTTAGAAGAGTGACTTTGAGCTTGAGACACTTCTCATACACCAAGTCAATCTTGCATCTATCAGCCACCAATATTTGTATGACTCCTCCACAGCCAAAAGCTGTGCCTTGCAGTCACCTGGTGACAGCTTCCCTGTCAACTCAAATGGCACAGCATATCCCAGAGAACTATGCAGTTCCAAGGAGGAGGAAAGATTGCAGGTTACGGGACTGCTTGCCATTCATGGGGAAGCTGAGAGGGACAGAGGGCTGCAGTTTGGAAAGGCACCACCAGAAGTCATAGATGGGTTACAAAAGATCAGAACTGATCTAAGTAAACAAAGAACAGCTCTGTCTGTCTCCACCCATAGGCTGTTCATAGGAGTGGTTTGCCCATGCTGCAGCAGTAGTCTGGCCAGGCAGCCCTTAAAAAGGGCTCCCTCAATTGCCTGCTTACCAAAACTCACAGTCAGACAAGAAGACTTTCCTTGTGAACAGCTGAATCACAAATCATGTGCACACTACCACACTGCTCGGGTGGGAAATCACCATCCAACAAAGCCCTAGGGACATCAGTGACTGCGCAGACAATACATTACTGCTGCATCGAGGAAAGGACAATGTCACAAGACATCAATTTTTGTTCTAAGCATGCCCACAAAGTTATCAGAAATCCATTATTCTCTAATAAATTTCCACCGCCCCACACACACACCCCGGTCCATTTCTATGATGAAGGTAACCCTTAGCCATGTGGGAGGGCATATAAAAAGGAATCCAGGTTTCAAGATGTTAACAGTCACTGTGAAGTGAAAGCACATTAAAACACTATCAAATTGAACACAAAGATCACCTCACCCAAAAGGTCATCTGCTACTTTTGCATCCGATTTCTCCAAAGACTCCAAAACCAGCATGGACAGATCAGCAGCACTGTTTTGCTACAAAACAGACACGTATTGGTAGTGATAAACGTATCAGTACATAAAAGGAAACATCAACCAGAATTTTGTCAGATGCAGATTTAATACTTTCATCAACATCTACAGCTAAGGCACAGTATCAAGCCTCAACCTTCCCTTACAAAAAAATTATAGTAATTTAATGTCATCAAAAGAGAAGCCTCCAGGACTGCAAAACAAATGTGGTTATGATTATTGTTTGGATGCTCACAAACACTTCTGCTTTATGTTCCAGTTTGGCACAATCCTTTGTGGAAGAAGGTTCAACAAAGAGATAAAACAAAAGATTACAAAGCAATTACTCCAAACATTTACCATTGAGAACTCACCACTCCTCAAAATCTTGGAATAACAATTCCCACCTACCCCCCCCCCAAACCACACACACAAAACCAGTGGCTTACCTGGTTATGACTAAAGAACAGCAAAGCCCCTGAATACATCAGTTCTCTAGCTTCTGCATGTTTTCCTTGTGACATATACCTGAAAACAATACCAACACCTTGATAAAAATTACCACAACTAAGTTACTTACATTTAAAGGATTAACATTAACATTTAAAATAAAGGCAGTAAGGGATTTATTTTTAAATTGGGTTAGTTTCAGTAATAATGTAATTTTAACTGCAAGCTATGATTTGTTTTCTGCTCCAGACTTGATGGAATACAAGCAAAGAGTATAAGAATGAAAGAAGAGCTTCAAACCCTATTTGGGCTGAAACAAGGACAAGGAAATGATCCCAGGAATTCTCCTGAGCAAAAGATGCCAATGCACTGAACTACACCGTGCAGAATGTCACATTAGAGCCTTTACCAAACCCAAAGCTGTCCCAGTGAAACAGTTTTCGGAATAAACCCTGGACAGCTCACACACCCAGCGCTGCCCAAGTGACTCCAGCCCTCTCCTCACCGATGTCTCCTTTCCACTGCTCTAAGTCTCTCTGATCAGTACTACTCTCTGCCAGGGGACACCAGCCACATACCAGTCCTCTGCTGAACCAAAGTTGCTTCTCTCTGATGCGCTCCAGTAAGGTGAGAACAGCCAGCAAGATTTACCATGCAACACTATACAGAGTCACCAATTCATAAATAGAAACAAGTCTGGCTCCTCAAATACAATGCTTCAAAACACATCTGCTGCAGCTTCCACCTTCCTCACTTAAGAGTTAACCAAGAAATTAAGAATAAAAGTATTCTCAATGGTTCCCTCAAGAGCAGGAGCCTCTTACTATGGTGCTGTGATTGCAGCCTCCTGCACATCATCACTACTGGTAACTAAAGGCCTTGAATAGTCACATGTCTGGATTACAAACACAGCGTTTCTTATAAGTGCAGTTAAGGTGTGGCAGCAGATAGTTTCCAATTCCCATTTCTCTTAAATGCTCCTCAAAATGTCCATTTTCTGAGTAGTTAATAACAACAGCCACTTTGCTCACATCAAAAAGGTAAGACATCAGTTTTACCACACTGCTTTACTATCTGCAATATTCATTTTGTCCCCTATAACACCTGGTTGTGCTGTGCCCCTGCTTCACCCCTCTCTGCTCTCGGTGGTCAGAGCAGCCTCCTGCAGCAGCAAGACCCCCCCCATACAGCAAATCTGATTGACGAGTGTCCCTGTGGGGTAACAGAGAGGGGTCAGTGGTTCTGGGAGTGAAGCTGTCCGGGGAGCAGTGGGACAGCGTGGGCACAGAGAGGGTCACACTAACCAGTGGGAAAACAAGCAAACGGTGGATACTATGCTGCTGTGCTGCACGTGAGGTTCCTGTCACACCTGGCAGTCCCAGGGACAGGTCGTACTGGTAAAATCAGATCAGACAACAAGCAAGGGAGGAGATAGAGTCCTTCCAGCCTGCTCACCATCTTCCAAAAGCCCCAAGGTCTTTTATCCAAACCAGCAAAACTGTAATAATGGATGTCAGAACTGTAATAATGAATGCCACGATGATGTTTTTTGGGAATAATTCAGATTTGCAATCACCATAGTAAATGCTCAAACAGATCGGCAGCTCTAACACTTTCATAGTTGGCCTCACATCCAGGTTTGCTTCTAGGTGTTTCACTCTGAATCTCAGTGTCAAACTTCCAACAATTCTACTTCCAGCAGATTCCCAAAGTTATTTGGGAGCTCCTAATCTGGGAGTTATTACAGCACATACTAAAAGATGCTGAAAACAGCTTTACAATATAAAATCCATCTAAAAGACTTTCTTTTTTACCTACAAGCACCAGGAAAACAGAAACCCATGTAACAGAGATGTTAAATTTGGAAGTTTGGCTCAATCACCAAATCATAAACAGAGCTCAAGCCAGTCAGCCCATGCAGTAACAACACTGGCCCAGGTACTCCTGTTTGGAAGAGCAAAGGACTGGCTGCTTGGCGTCAGGCAGCAACAGCAGTTCTCAAATCGCTCTGGGGATCACAGGGAGGGATAAGAAGTCTGCAGAAAGCAGGCTTACAATAATCTTTCCTCCTCCCCTCCTCCTCCCTCAAATACATCTCAGTTTATGGCTTCTGAAACTCTGAGTCAGGATTTCAAGTTTAACACGCAACTCATGACAGAACAAATGTTTTACAGGCCAACGTTGTTTACAACAAGTAAGCACTGTCTATCCCAATTACAATTCTGCAGCTGAGATCACCTCACTCTGTGTTAATGTGTCTCTGGAAAACTGTTGACATTAACACACATTTTACAGAGGACATGCAAGACTATCCAGGATTCTGTTTTGGCCTCAGTGACTTTCCAAACAAGTTACACTGTCTCATTACATCTTTTTGCCTAGAAGGAAACGCTTTTCCCAACTATGCAAATGTCACCTTTTCATTTAGCTGAGCACCTTCTTTCACTTACATTTAAAATGGAAAAGGCAGGATCTTTGATTCCAAATTAATTCAGGAAGGCTTAAGCAAAGTATGTGAGTTAATACATTCAGGAGACTGGATGAGAAGTGACCTGCTGAGCCAAGTCATCATCTGCCACTGCAGCCATCACATCACATAATCCTTACTACAAAACGGGCCATGCTTTGTCGTAAATTTAGATTTATTCTCAAATACAATTTAAGTCTTAAGGCCTAGACGATGCCCTTGCTGATCCCATCAGAAGGTTACGGCAGAACACAACTGCTTTAATTTAATGGTGCTTGGGAGGAAAAGCTATGCAAGGTACACTGGTAGCAGAAGCAGACTATGCACAAGGACTCTCCTCTCCACATAGCTGGCTGCTGTTCTTCTGGGGATACCTACAGGCCTGTTCCCATTCCATCTCAGAGGAGGAGCTCTGAGGGCAGCTGAAGCACGTGTGAGCTATCAAGACTTGGAAGGCACTTTTCCCATCTGTTCTTCCCCAGCAGAACCCCAAGTGAACAAAACTGGGACCAACCAAGGAAGCCTCTAGAAATAATACTTTATTCTGTGCCCCTTAAAGCAAGGGTCTACATTTTAAATTTTGATGAGAGAAAGGGTGACCACTGTAAGTTATGGTGGATGTGAAAAGTAATAGAAAATCTACAAGTTTGTAATAAAGGTAAGCTTCTTATGACATAACAGGCACTAGTAGTATCTCTGAACAAATAGAACTGCTCAACGTAGTCATTGTCATGAACAGAAACATTACACCAACTATAAATATTTCTCATAAAATTCCTCCGTGCATGTGATTCTCACCACCCTGAGAGCTGCCCCTTCCTAAAAGCTGTACCAGAGGGTGACTACTGTGCAGCAAAGTAGCCCTGTTTCTCGGCTGAGCAATAATCCGAACAAAACCTTAAAGCCCTGAAACAATCTACTTTTCAGCCAGGCTGACGTTTAAAATAAGCTGGCAAACCAGAGGCTGTTCAGAGGGCGCCTGCTTGAAGAGCTCACGGAGGGCCCTGGAGCCAAGGACAGGGGGAGTCGGACCCGGGCCCGCAGGGATGCCCGGGGAGGAACCCCGAGGCCTTCCCGCCTGGCAGGGGAGGGCCTCACTCGGCCTCCTCGAGACGTGGGGCCGCCCAGAGACGTCTGGGGACGGGGGGACGGGGGGACGGGGGGGCGAAAGCCAGCTCTGTCCGTG